CATTTATTTCTCTGTAATCAAATAAACTGGACTTTCTTAGTTTTTTCTTGAAAATGTTTTGCTTCTCATCCAAGAAGCTTCTTCAGTTCTGGAGGTTCTTGGATGAGAAGCGAAACATTTTCAAGAAAAAACTAAGGAAGCCCACTTGTCTTTTGAAAAGCATCTTTGGGACAACTGTGACATGGACAACTGAGATTCTCCACAGACATGTAATCAAATAAGCTTGTCTAAAAAATTCAGAAATTTCATATTATTGAGATGATAGAAACAGATCCTAGTAACCCAGCACCAGTACAGATAGCAAATAACTTAAAGAATTTTCTTGCTCAGATTTGCTACTCATCAGTATTATTTTTATGTGTAAAGAATTTAAAAACAAATCAAACATATATAATGGACACCAGATAACTGTATCTAATTAACTCTGAAATTAAAGAATTATTTGGTTTTTCTTTGTTTTTGATTCCCTTTACTTTGAGTTAAAACCAAGATGAAATCTGGGAGGTATATTATGGACTTGTGTGCCATGTCAAATAAATACACAGATAAGTAAAATGCCACATACAGGTAGTCCTTGACTTACAACAGTTCAGTTAGTGACTGTTTGAAGTTACAACAGCATTGAAAAAGTAACATTGCAGCATCTTCATGGTCACATGATCAAAATTCAGACACTTGGCAACTGACTCATATTTATGATGTCCTGGGCTCATGTGATCACCTTCTGTAACCTTCAATATCAATGGGAAAGCTAAGTCCCTTAACAACGATGTTACTAACTTAACAATTGCAGGGATACACTTAACAATTGTGGCAAGAAAAATAAAATGAGCAAAACTCACTTAACAAATGTTTCACTTAAGCAACAGAAATGCTAAGGTTAATTGTGGTCGTAAGTTGAGGAATACCTGTATAAAGAATAGCAATGATCGGAAAATTTTAAATAATTATAATTAATAATAATGTATTAAATGTATATGCTGCCTATTGTAGTCCACATAAGTTAGACTAATACTATGGGTTTTGTAGTACTGTTGCACTGTCAAACTAATATGGGTTTACCTTCTTTAATTTAGTTTACATTTTGAGCATAAGAATGGAATGCTAAAGTTTTCCCTTAGCAACCAACTTGCTGAAAACTAACTGAAAAATAAGAACTTTCTCAGGCTGAATAACAAAAGCCTTTTTTTTTAACTGAGCATGTTAAGAAATTTCAGCTTAGGTGAAATTGTATTTTTTTTCAAAATGGACTCTATGAGACTCATGATATGTTTTTCCATGCTAACGTTTTACTTCTTTAATACTTTAATACAATGCTCTTTTCTATTGCTATGCTCACATATTATCGGATATCTTGATTTCTATGATGTAACTGGACAGATGATCATTTCTGAACCAATCAACTTTTACTTAGAAGTTCTTTGTTGCACCAACTATAAAAAGTAAATATAAACCATTTTTCAAGACCCTCCATTTTATAGGGGGAGCCCTCTTTAGTACTCTAAAACGTTTAAATGATCCTCTGACTTGGCTGCTTATTAGAGAAAGTAAGCCAAGGTAGAACCTACAGCCAGATTTGGTCATCACTATGAAATTAGAGTGAAAACAAGCAGCGATTGCCAATTTGTCCTAAATTAGGCCTTATTATACTTAGCAATTATTTTTCCATAGTCTGGAATTTAATCACCTGCTTTGTTTTCACAATGCATAGTATTTGCTATACACTTGTCTAGCTTTTGTAAATTAACAATAAGAAGATAAAAGAAAATGAGTTTTTCACTTATTAAATCACTAACTGCTAAATATAGCTGCAGATAAACTTCCTTTAAAAAATTGATATAAATCCAGGAAAATTAGCAAATGAAAATAAAATAAAAGCTAACATAGACCATGAAAACTGTTTTCATTTCTGTTCCAGTGTTTGTATTCAAACAACTGTCATATTTAATATTTGCATATTTTTAAATAATATCCAAAAAAAGCCAAATAGCTATTACCTCATCTTCTGAATCTCCCAACTTTCCCAAGTCAAGACATGGCACACTATGGAGAATTAGAAATTTAAAATTATAATACTTCCCTGGTTTTTATATGTCACACATCTTTTTCCTTCAAAGTAAGGTTGCTGATTTTTGAAAATGGATTAAAAATCAACGTCAAAATCATCCATTTCTATTCTCACAATTAATTGATAGCAGAGGGGTTGCTTATTATCATACAAACCATCTTCCATTTATATCATTTGATTACAAAAAATATTTATATCACATTTGAGTTCTTTCTGAACTTAATTAAGAAAGAAACATATAGAACACAATTAATTTGTAGCATTAGATAGATTCATGTGAAACAGATTGAGAGATTACCAATTAATTACAATCTTAAAATGGAGAATTACTAATGTATAATATTAATTAGGAATCAACTCTAGTATTCTACCTTTGCAATTTTCCTAAATTCTCTAGCACATAATTTGAAAGATGCCAATACCTGATACAAACATCAACAGGAACAATATACCCCTATATTTGCATGCATAAAACTTTTAGTCCCACCCAAAACTTTCCCAAACATCTTTAAGTATATTTTCGATAAATATATTTATTGGGTTTGTGCAAAATTGTTTCACACATATGCAAATATATTTATAAACTTTACATACTAAACTCTAAAATAATAGTATTTTATTCTAATAGAACTAAACATTATACTGTTGTTATTTCTTAATCCATGAACATTAATTATCTATATTGCTAAATAAGTAAAATAATAACAATTATTAAATTAATTTTTTGCTGGCCATCTCAATGTAGAGCTACTCTACATGGCTTACAAAAATAAAAATTGGAGAAATGAAAAGGAAATTTAAACAAAGCAAAAGTAAAATAAGAGAACAATAAAATAAAAGAAGAAAAAATACATCAATAGGAGTAGCTAAAAATAGATGAGCAAGTAAGAATACTGTATATGCTGCTTTGTTACCAGAAGAAAGATGAGATATAAAAGTAAAAATACATTTGAGGAATTCTAATATTAATCACTTTTATTTTCAAATCATTGTATCTAGACAGCCATAGAACTTCATGCATACAGAAGCAAAGGAATGCCAATTTTTGCTAATCTCTCTTTGAAATCTGCTACTTAAAATTAATATTAGCACATGAACAATGTGACATTAGAGTTAAAAATACTGAAATTTCAGTCTGCTTAAATATTTTAAAACACAGAACTTTCAGCTATTGAAACCTTTAATGAAGCTAGACAATTTCTGAATCTGACACTACCACTCACCAGTCAGCAATTCCATCAGTGAAATATTTGACAAGATTTATAAAGCATAATTATGATTTGATATCACAACACAAGACACTTCTTTCTTTGCACTATCATCTCTTCTCAGCTGTCTGCCAAACAAAATGTGACATTCCTAGATCAGAACATTTTAAGGGGGAAAAGTGTTTCTTGATCTGTTTGATTTGTTTCATATTAGTATTCTATTATACTATCATATTTGCAAAGACAGTTTTTAAAAGGAAAATACTTACTCGGCTGGTCGAGGACCATGGCTTAATCTTGTGTTTGGCCTCCAACCCTGAAAAAAGAATACAAAGCTTTTGTTTGCTTGTTTTGTTTGTTTTCATGTTCCTCCATACTCAATGAAAGTGTGAACATAAATAAGAATCAATTATTAAAAGAAACAAAGAAATACAATAAGAATAGTAGTTTAATTCAGGGGAAATCCAAGGGAATGGAAGCTAGGATTTTAAAAGAATTTTGGTCAGTTCTGTGGTACTTTATGGAGTAACAAGTTTATCTATCAAAAGTTACTTTATTTATTTCTTTCAAACATTTACATAACCACCCATCTTATACCAAACTCTGATGGATTCTTTTTTAATAGCTAAATAA